GCTGGCTGGGGAATTCTGGGAGTTGAAGTCCACCAGGCTTAAAGTAGCCAAAGTTGGAGACCCCTGGTATAAATGAATGTCTCAGCTTGGTTTCTTTCATAACGAGAGGCACAATTTTATGTTTTTCTGCTAATCGCAGTAAATGCATGATCTAAGGGCTGGAGGTGCACCAGGGATGTCCAATCTTAGCAACTTTAAGACTTGTGGACTTCACCACCCCAGAATTCTGGGAATTGAAGTGCACAAGTCTTCAAGTTGCCAAGGTTGGATATTCCTGTTCTACACTTACAAAGGGTGATTAGTCATCTCAATTTAGTACAGCATGTGGCAGGATTATCTCCGAGGAATTTAAAAACCTGTTTGTTTTTCATTTTGGTACCTAGATGGCTGACCACACAGAAGTTATGCAAGGCATCAGGAAGGCCTCTGGGGTCAGCTACCCTGTTCTGACGCCCAATCTCAAGGGATTTGAAGCAGCGGTAAGAAATCTGCAGTCAAAAAGCTCCTAGGTCCTTTCACTAGTGGGGAAGGTACTAATGAGTGGAGCTATAAAACCTGTGGCACTCTTTTGTACTGCTCTTTGATAGGTACAGGAAGTCCTCAAGTTATGACCATAATGGAGCCTTCCCATTACGGTCGTAAGTTGTGACAAGTAAATCCATGGTTTGCTATGGGCCAGTTTTATTAAAATGGGAAGTAAAAGTGCCGGTTTTCAACAAAACTGTCTTAAATTGAGCTCATGTGACCACAGGGCCTGCAAATGGCTGTAAATATGGCCTGGTTGCCAAGCACCCAAAATGTATTTATATGACCCTGGGGGACACCCCTCCCCCAACTATCAGAATTTTGAATGCAGGTAAAAAGTACCTCCCAGTTCGGTCCATCAGTAGTTCAAATGGTCACCAAGCAACTAGTCGTAAGTCGAGAAATACCTATCTGTCTTCTCTATCTCAGTTGAAAAAGCAGATCCATATCTTCACCCAGGCAGATCATTAGCCTGAACTGAAGAGCTACAGCTGCCTCTCCCATTCGTTGCTTTGGCACTGCCATTCTGGTTTCTCATCCAGAGTTTCTGCTTCCCTGTGTCTTGAGGACGTGGTTGTCTGGAAGACCTTGTGTCCCAGCAGGTTGGCTTGGTGACCTTGGCCAGTTACACTCCCAGCCTATCTCACTCAGAGAGTTGGTGCTGTGGGAAAAACAGGAGGAGGGAATATTAGGTATGTTTGTCATCTTGTGCTAGCATGGGGGGAGGAGTGAAGAGGGGGCTGAGCTTAGAGTCCTTGCACTGCAGGAAGCAGGAGAAGCCTTATCTGACTCATCCCAAGAGAATCTGGCAAGATTCTTGTAAATAGGCATTGCGACAACAACGAAGAAACTTTTATTAGCTCACAGAGTCGTTCTGATTCCTTGTGCCTGATACTTGTAAAGTAATAAAGGTGGGATAACAATCTAATAAGTACATAATGGATAAACTCATCACAAGGGGAGGAACAAGTGCTAGGCTTTTCTGAACAGAGAAATGTATAATATCTAAGCTCTTTTTTGTATTGTTTATAGGTGGCAGCCGGAGCCAAGGAAGTGTCAATCTTCGGAGCAGCTTCGGAACTCTTCACAAGAAAGAACATCAACTGTTCCATAGAGGAGAGTCTGCAAAGATTTAGTGATGTTCTGCAGGCATCCAAAGGAGCCAGTATTCCAGTCCGAGGGTAAATATTAGCACTGCATGCTGATTTGGGTGAGGAACAAGCATCCTTATGTGTAGCCCGTGAGAAGGAGGAAGGAAGGCTGAGACATGGACGAAAGGAGGATCTAAGCAGGAAACTATCCAGCGTCCTTTCCAGGAAACACAAAAATGTTCCTCTTAGCTCCGTCTTCCCAATCTAGCACTCTTCAAATGTGTTTAGCCTGCAACTCCCAGATTTTCAGGCCGTCTTGGAATTCTGTTTAGCAGTTAGTCCTCATGATGGCTGTGAAAATATTTACAGACCCGTCACATCCCGGACATGAACTGTTTTAACTCCTTCCCTCAAAACGACGTTATAGAGCCCTGCACAACAGAACAACTAGACACAAGGGCAGTTTTTTCCCAAAAGCCATCACTCTGCTAAACAATTAATTCCCTCAACACTGTTCAACTATTACAAAGTCTGCATTACTATTACCATTAATCTTCTCATCACTCCTTATCACCCATCTCCTCCCACCTGTGACTGTATGACTGTAACTTTGTCGCTTGTATCCTTACGATTTATATTGACTGTTTCCTAGTATGATTTGTTTGCTTATTGCACCCTATGAGTATTATTAACTCTTGTACCTGATGATTCTTGACTAATGTATCTTTTCTTTTATGTGCACTGAGAGCATTTGCACCAAGACAAATTCCTTGTGTGTCCAATCACACTTGGCCAATAAAAGAATTCTGTTCTGTTCTATTCTATTCTATTCTGTTCTATATTTTCTATTCTATTCTATTCTGTATTTTCTATTCTATTCTATTCTATTCTATTCTATTCTGTATTTTCTATTCTATTCTATTTTATTCTATTCTGTATTTTCTATTCTATTCTATTCTATTCTATTCTATTCTATTCTATTCTATTCTAATAAACAGTCTCCTCCTCCTCCTCTGTAGATGTTTTTAAAAACCCTACATGACCTGGTAACTTCCCCACATACTAACTGTGGGAAGAGGTTGCATTGCACCTGTTCCCCCCATCAAAAGATATTACGTGATGGATCGATATCTCGTGAACGAAACAAAAGGGAGCCAGGGGCTGCTATTTTTCATTAACTGGCCTCCATGACTTTACATAACAGCGTTGCATTTCTCTTCCCTTCTCCATGCAGCTATGTCTCCTGCGTTCTTGGCTGCCCTTATGAAGGAAAGATTTCTCCTGCTAAAGTGGCAGAGGTAAGTTCGTGACGTGGGCCTGTTCAGAAGAAGTGTTCTTTCTGGTAGACTCCACTTTTCTACAAAAAAAAAAACTAAGACGAGCCTTTGAGAAGAGTGTTAAATCTCACCACGCATGTATTGTCCTACTGACTGAGTAGGATTTGCCTTCTGTTCCGATTTCATTGCAAGGACAGGAGAGAGCACAGGTTAAGACCAGAGCTCTCCAACCTTGGCCACTTTAAGCCTGGCGGACTTCAAGCAAAGCTGGCTGGGGAATTCTGGGAGTTGAAGTCCGCCAGGCTTAAAGTGGCCAAGGTTGGAGAGCCCTGGGTTGGAGGATCTGTATGGAGAAAGTTCCATGTTCTATTTCAGCATCCTACAGTATCTCCGGACAGGTTGTTTGTTTCTACCTAGCCAGGCCTTGGTGAGCTGTTTTAACTCACCATAAACAACACTGAATTAGATGCGAATAAACCTCTTGAGTTGGAATGAGGCTCATAAATATCCAACCCTCTGACCAGCAGCTGTCAGTGAATGAGGAAAAACACACACTGCACCTCTGCGTGGGATAAATTGAGCTCATTCCCCCTTTCACCCCGTTGCTTTTGTGATGTGTTAGAGTTCAGTTTGAGTGGTGCAAATTGAAATCCCAGAGGTCGAAACTCTGAAAGCTGGCTTTTCCCTGAAGAACTAGTGTTATTTTATACAGGTAGTCCTCAACTAATAGCAATAGCAATGGCACTTAGACTTATATAGTGCTTTACAGCTCTCTCTGAGCGGTTTTACAGAGTCAGCCTGTTGCCCCCAACAATCTGGGTCCTCATTTTACCCACCTTGGAAGGATAGAATGACCGTAATGACGCCTGTCATGGAGTCCAGAATTTATGTCATACATCATAATAGTTCTAAGCCAAGGCTTTCATGTGACTAGAACCAATTTTACAACTTTTTTGTGGTTGAGCAAATGCCATGGTTGTTAAGAAAACACCACTGCAACTAGCTGTAAAGTTGAGCCAGTTGCCAAATGCCCAAAATGTGTTCCTGTGGCTATGGGGAGTGTGTGTGTATGTGTGTGCAGCTGGAATTTGAGAATTGGGTTTTATGTAGCTTTTGGGAGGGTTGTCATAACTTCAAACAGCTGCTAAGTGACTGGTCATTAAGTGAGGATGACCTGTTATGAATATTTTTGATTTTAAGAGTTGTGTGCCCATGTTATCCATTGCTTTAATATTGAAGTAATTTTTTTTATAAACTAACAGTCATGGATTGCTGTAAAATTCAGATCACGGAGGAATCTGGGTTGAGGACAAGAAGATTTCCCATCTAAAGGAAATTGATTGTGTGAACAAGTAGATGTAGGTTTCTGGATAAAGATGGAAAGCTTGATTTGGGTGGCATAGATGGCTAGGGCAGTTTTTATGATTTGGAATCTTCATGATCTAAACTAGGGGTGTCCAACCTTGACAACTTTAAGACTTGTGGACTTCAACTCCCAGAATTCCTCAGCCAGCTTTGCTGGCTGAGGAATTCTGTTAGTTGAAGTCCACAAGTCTTAAAGTTGCCAAGGTTGGACACCCCTGATCTAAACCGTACTTTTCCTGTGGATTCCGCAAGGAAGATTCCACAGATTGTGTTCTCAGTCTCACCTGAGAAGCTCAACCTGGGGGAGTCTATGGAGATTCCCAATCATCCAGGTCATGGTTGTCCCAAAGGTGTTTTTTTCCGAAAAGGCAACTGGACTTCCTTGGTGTTTTCTTGGAAAACACGTTGCTTCACATCCAAGAACTGAAGAAGCATCTTGGATGAGAAGCAAAATATTTTCAAAGAAAACACCAAGGAAGTCCAGTTGCCTTTTGGCAAAAAACCAACAACTTTGGCTCAACCTGAAGTTTATTTACCTGCCATTTACAGCTATGGCAAGAGAAATTGGGCCAACTGGACTGAGCACCAGTTCCAGGGAAAGAAAATCCTGAAGACGAATCCATCCTAATTATTACAATTGTCTGTTGAATTTGCAAAAGAAGAAAAACAATAAGAAGCTACATTTTAAAAAAAATCTCCTTTGCGACAGGTGTCAAAGAAAATGTATGCGATGGGGTGCTATGAGATTTCTCTCGGCGACACCATTGGTGTGGGGACCCCAGGCAACATGAAGGAGATGCTGTCTGCAGTCATGAAGGAGGTGCCCGTTGAAGCCCTTGCAGTTCACTGCCACGACACTTATGGACAAGCTCTTGCCAATACACTAGTAGCACTACAGGTGAGTTTTCATTTAGTCTTCGAAGCAACCTTTAGACCAGGGGTTTCCAACCTTGGTGACTTTAAGACTTGTGGACTTCAACTCCCAGAGTTCATAAGTGGACTTGTGGACTTCATAAGTGGACTTGTAGACTTCATAAGTGGACTTGTGGACTTC